AGATTAAAGATCCCAAGTATAATTATTAATTTTAGATTATTTAAATCTGAGTTGTTCATGAATATTTCATACAATTTTCTGACAAAGTTCTTTTAAATATGAGAAATGTTTAAGAAACAGTGATAATTGACACATATACATTCCCAATCTATATACAGAAAAGTAAAGTTTAAAATTATGATTTGTCAGAAATATTTTCTTGAAAATTGATTATTTTAGTTTGTAAAATAGAAAAGAAGTAAGAAATATTGTAAATTTTACCATTTAAACTTCTGCTTAAATTCATTAATGACAATNTTAATTCAGTATGTTCTATTCAAACAAATACAAGGTAATACAATCAGAATCTTATCGAGATATGTGGTTGAGTACTATCTTTTGTTAAATTTAATCATATTCCACAATAAATTTATTTATTTGTTTAAGTTTGGAAGAAAAGAGTAGCATGGGATGAGACTTAAACCCACAACTCCTCACTATGCAGATGAGTTAGTAATTATGCTATTTGGTCTTTCATCCAGAAGTGAAGATTGAAGAAGGCCAAAAACGTTCGTCCTCGTGTATAAACGGCTAGAAACTAGTGAGAAAGGTTTTGTCTTGGAAAACGTTTTACTGCATTAAATACATAAATTTATTATTACAATAGAAATTTATGCTTTACAATGGAACAAATTTGATGGTAAATTTTCAGCAACCTTTCCCTAATTTTTGATGATTACCCTATTAGTATAAACAATTAGTAGATTCCTTAGAGTTGAATATGATAAAAACAATCAGTTCAGTTTAGTCTATTGTTTTTGAACAGTTAATTAATTTACAGTCGTGCCAAACATTTAATTCCTGTGCACAGTTTGTGGTCTGTAGCATTTCAGGTCACAACTTGTCTGGTGTTTAGCATTGCTAAACAATCAACACACCAAATTTTACTGCCAGTTAACTCTGTACACTGTGTATCACAGACAGTTATCAAAATTAAAAATGTTTACTGTCACTCTTAACCTGTATTTGAGTATGATTAATTTTTTTTTGTTTTTACTCCTTTAAAACTGGGAAAAGCCATCAATATTTGGGCAAATACATCACTTCTAATGCAATTTTACCTCATAAAATACATTTCTTGAAAATATTTAAATGTAAGATAAATGTTTATATATAAAATATTTTCAAAAATCATTATCATGGAACAAAAATATAACTTTTTATTCCAAGAGAATGATATTCTTTTATTCCTAAAAAATAACTCAATAGTAATGAGATATTCATGGAATTCTGTTAATTAATTATATATTGCCTGAAAATAATCTAGTTTAGGTTTACATTTGATTTGGAATTTGGTTGTATCTTGTGTATTGTATTTATTCACTAAGATTTGATATAGCTTGATATATTTTTTCTTTTCTCTAATTCTTTAGAACAATTTGAAGTATTTTTTTCAATTGGATATTTTATTACAATTTTCTGATTTCAAAACTCTTCCAGCAAAGTGTCTTGATGAATCTCTAGATGTATTTCTAGATCATTTACAGAATCCATTGGTGAGAATATTTTTCTTTTCATTCTTAAATTCATTATGAGAATTAAATAAAAAATAATTAAAATTATTTTTTTATGTAACTTTTTCTATAAATATGGTAGCTTCCATATATATACTAGATTTATTGAATTTCCAAAATCAGAGTTATGTATATAAAGAAGTTTTTAAGATAAAAAATAAGAAAGATACTGTACAAGTCTAATAATTTTTGTATTTGAACTATAAGAATCATCAATTATTTTGAAAGCAAATATGAAAGTAAACTCAAACTTCCATGTAACAAATTCCTCCAGGAAAGGTGGAGCATTCATTATGTGAAAAATGTGCCAATATCAAAAAGAAAATACAGTATATTGTAACAATGTTTTATTTTCCATAAAAGTATCCTTGAACTCATTCATAACATTTACTTAAGTATTATGTATAGTATTTTTTTATTGAAATGTTATGATAAATATGTAAGAATTCTTATCATATTTTAACACTTAGTAAGTTCTATCCAGGGAATTTTGCTAACAGCATCTGTTTTGAATGTATTAAAAAGACCATTATTTGAAGTTATCCTTAGATACAAATATTGTACTACTGTGAAATCTGGCAACTGAGGTGGCAACAGCTGCAAAAAATAAGTAGATGTTTTAACTAATAATTTTTATCAACTTCAAACACCATATTTTTATTTGTTCAGCCAAAATAATGTTTTGACTGTAAAAAGATATATTTTCAACATTCCACAGAAAAATTAGTATTATAGAGGTTTGACTTTAATTCAGTATGTTCTATTCAAACAAATACAAGGTAATACAATCAGAATCTTATCGAGATATGTGGTTGAGTACTATCTTTTGTTAAATTTAATCATATTCTAAAATAAATTTATTTATTTGTTTAAGTTTGGAAGAAAAGAGTAGCATGGGATGAGACTTAAACCCACAACTCCTCACTATGCAGATGAGTTAGTAATTATGCTACTTGGTCTTTCATCCAGAAGTGAAGATTGCAGGTAGCAGGTAGCATAACTGGCAATGTATCTGCATGGTAAGAAGTTGTGGATTTGAATCCTGGTACGGGATAGTTTTTTCTTCCACTGTTCTAGAATAGGTTAAGCTGCTTTGTGCTAAATTTGTCTTAATAACTAGCCATATTATAGCTCAGTAAGATTCCAGTTGTATGGATTGATGGTTAACAAATATCAGGTTTGTTTTATACGTAATATTTTTCTCATACCACAGGAAGAGACAAACACCGAATTCTGTCTCTGATTCTATCAAGAGAGAGATGATGAATAGCCAAAGTACATAATTACTTACCACTTCTTAGTTCTGTCATTTTTCTATGTAAATTTATATATTTATAGTATAATTTTTATTATTTAAAAAAGATTTAATCCATTTGTTAAAATTTGTGGTTCTTTTTTAACAATGACAAACTTACTTAATGTTTATGGGAAATTTTTTATTTCTGGCAGCCCCAAGTTCAAATCGTTAGTTCTTCTGTAATGTTGACAATTGCTCTCAATCTCTTAAACCATCAACCATCCAGAATTTTTCTTCAATATTCTGTACAATTCCTCCATACTTTGGAAGAAGGGATAAATGCCATTATGGTTAAATGTTTTTAGATTGTCAGCTTTCCAAGTTGTATAACAATGAACTATATATTCTTTAATTCAGCTCCATATTAGTTTGGTGGGATTTGGCTCACGGTAATTGGATGGGAGTACTGGATAGCATGTCTACCTTCAATGCAATTTTATCAATTCGATAGCCATCAAGTTGATATAGATGAGAGAATCTGAATTGTTAGAAATCATTCATAGTCATTTCTGGCTGCCATACAACTGAATATACTTGGGGCTACCACCACATACAATCAAACCAAGATTGTACTGTACATTCAATTTGGTTCACAAACTTGTAGGCTGTACCCACAAGTTTGTGAACAAAGGTGCCAAAAGGATTAAGTTTAGACAAAAAGTTGAGAAATCGTGCTTCAAAATATTCCATTGTCTTATTTATTTTAAAACTAGCTGCAAGATCCCACTTCGCTGGGTTTTTATTTGTATGTAATAGTATAGTTTTATATATATATATATATAAGACTATTTTTCTAAGTAATCTAGAATCTAGCTGCAAGGACCCGCTTCGCTGGGCAAAAAGTAACGATAGTGAAGATTAAGATAATTACATTATAGCTAATCTTACCCGTTTTCACAAAATGCAAGAATTAGGTCCCCCGTTTCCAGACTAATTAGAGAATTTTTACGTTTAGTCAAACGAACAAATTTCAACGTTTCTGGAACGTTTTCAATCATTCTATAATCGAACCAATTCGAATTTTATGTTCGAATTTAATTCGAACAAAATCGAAAAAATCGAACAAAACATTCGAAATAGAAAGCCACTTTCAACTACTTTTAGCCTCATATCTCCCGCACCCTTATAGCTATCGAGATGCAACCACCCTTATGCACGAATGGAGACTTGGGGCTACCACCACATACAAACACCATTCACGTGTGATGTGTAGTTTTGGTGAAAAAGTGAGATATAGGGACATACATGTCCATTTTTATATATACATGTATATAGATATAGATGTATAGAGCACTTTCAACACAACAGTGCTTGTTTCCAATGGATAAAATAATTTGTTCTTTATTTTCAATATTTTTAATCCAGTAGCTTGGCAGGAGGCATTTTCCTTAAGGATCTAAGTTACTGTTTTATCTTACCAAGAATGCTGTAAACAATGGCTGGCATTGTAATATGCTGTCCTGATTTTACAAGGATACTTATGCTGCCAAACAATATCATGCTCAGTCAGCAGAGAATTTCTATTTCTATTAACATATACTAACTCCTACAAAAAAAAACTGATGCAAAGTCACTTGTAATGAGGATGACAGATTGTAGATATTATTTAATCTATTAACCAGCTATTTAAATTAGGATATTCTTTACAAAACAGATACTTATGAACTTTCATTCAAATTGCTGTTTTACAAAAATCATCAAGCCCAGTTTAACAATGTGGAATTAGTGATTGTTTTTGTCCAAGGAGCAAATAAAATAGAATTGGAAAGACAAGACAATTTCTTTAATCTTAAAATGATTGTTGTTAAAATATCAATAAATTTGGCCGATAAATCGATAGTTTTGCAGATTAATTTGTTTGAATGCAGACCTGGATGTGCTAATTTCCCATAAATAATAAGCACAATCTTTGCTTTCCTTTAATATTGCTGTCTTTTTTTCACATTTCAAGAGACTTTATGGCAATGATATAAAATAACCTTGTTGCAAAACATTAATTTTTATAAGTATAACAAACATCTCAAAGCCCAATAAGTATATAGGAACATCCAACAATCACCTAAATAACTGGGCTACAATTCTGCTTAATGTATTAATTATTTAAAATTAGTGGAATTGTAGCTCGATGTTTCCATTGATTTTTGTGTAAAATGATATGATAGAAGTAAGTCTATTATTTTTTCTTGTTAATGATAGAATTTTCTAAATTAATAAGTAGAATTTTTACAATCGAATTACAAACAATTGATTACTTATTAGCATTTTCATTTATTGATAGATATGTTTATACTTCTACTGATTTTATTTTTTAGATTTACATATATTCTTTTTCCCTGGTTTTTCAAAGTTGGGAATTTTCGTCATTATCCTGCATTATAAATATTTCTTTTGTTCAAATACATAGGATGATGTATAATTTTGGCATATAGTGATCCCGTAAGGTCGTATCACAGACTCGACTAAAAATAATTGATTAAATCGGGGGCCTTAATCTGGACACTTATCTCTCATCTCTTCTTTTGGAGACAAATGACATTAAATCAAGAGACAGAGGCAATTCTGGAAGACATCATGATTCTATCAGGTTGATTATACATGTTTGGCTTATCTGTGCATGCAACATGGTATAGAATTTTAACCAATCAAATTGAAAAATTTTCAAAAATGCTGAGTATTAAGTTATAGATTACATCTAAGGAAAGCATAAGCCCATAATTTTGACAAAGATATGTTTTTTGTTTTATACAGATTGTTCTAATACGACTGTACAGCACGAGTAGCATCTGGTCATCCATATTGGACATAATGAAATCGAAGCAACAGACAAAAGACCGAGAGAATCTTTGAGAAAAAGGTATTTGGAGAGATGTAAACAAATGATTATCTAATTGGAGACGAGATGACGACCGGAATACAGACCTAAGCTTATTGTTATTGGATAAAGCATTAACATAAAAGTTATAGGACTTTAGTGTTTTAGAGGTACATATGCACAATTTAAAAGGAACACTGTTGATTAGATATCACCTACAATGGAAGAATTAGATGAACATAAGATTTTTCTGTGATTTAAGCCCACTCCCACATTAGTTATTGGAATTTTTGAAAACATGAACATTACAAAAGATTGTAAATCAGTTTGTTTTATTAAGCACATGTTAAACATGGTTTAGAATACTACAGAACCTCAACTGATTAGTAAAGTATGTACAGTGGAGATTATGCATAAAATTAGCCAAAGTCGAAATGAACGGCAAAACTTACCAAACTCCCTTTAGTTGATGCCCTTTAAAACTCATTATGGTAGCATCAGAGTCATAGAATTCAAACACTTACAAAATGGACTTTTAGAGAGCAGATATCATGTATATGTAAATGTAAGTTAAGGAAATGATCTAAGGCTTCTACAAAAATTTTGTCATGAAATTTTAACATAGCGACAGTAAAATAAACTTACTAAAAATATACACGGCTAAAATTAAATGTGGATAGGCCTGGAGCCGTAACACACATGACAACCGGGGGTCTTCCCAACCTGGTCGATTTCTAGCAAATTTATAAAACCGTTTCGGATGAGATGTGACAATGAACTCTTTATACATTTAATGAGTTTATGATCTAAACCAGTAGCGACGGAGCCGGTTTCTTTCCCGGCCACGCCTCCTTTGCATATTTCTTCTTTTTGGGTTCCGGAGGGAGGTTGGCATCAACTGCGGTCCTGGGATGCAGCAGGGTAGTGGTGATGGGCGGCGCCTCAATGGGAGGAAGCAGGTCGACGTCTGGAGCAGGATTGGGCAAGTGTAGTCCAAGTTTCGCTGACAGTGAGGGTGAAAACAGTGGAATGACATGTCCGTGCACGCCCGAGTCCAGAGAGCCGCGGGTGTAGTCGGAGTCGTACGATGAGCCATACGACTGGCTTCCCACGTTGTGCGACGAATCTGACAGTCCACTTCCAAAAGGATTGGATGCATCGAGCTTGACTTTCTGAAATTATAAATAAAAATATTTTAGGAAATTATAAATAAAAATATTTATGGTCATTAAGTAACAACTACTAGTATAATGTATTGTGAGAGCCCCAATTTTATTTTCCATTAAACTTTTACACAATTGTTCCACAATCACCTACCCCTCATCAGCTTAATTGCAATTGTTTCTATTGTGGGAATTGGTAGTGTTTCCATAGTCATTTATCAATTTCTCCGAAAAACTCATCAAGTACCACATTTCTGGCAACATCTAGTTATAGTGTGAGCAGAATATGCTCAAGATGCTTCTTGCCGATCCATGGATACTCCTACACCTTCAGTGGATCAAGTCTCAATCCTTATGAGAGGAAACAAATTAAATACAACCCTCCAATTATTCACTTCTATCTACTTACTATTTTAATCATAAAACTCAGCTCAATGATAACATCAACCAAACCAAATGCAACCTCTTCTCTCCTTCACAGACATACCTGGAATTTGTCAAGATGTCTACTGTTCCTGGGCAGTCTGATCCAGCATTAATAGCTTTATTGAGCTGTCCAGTTTGCTTTAACCTAGTGAAACCACCTGTATATCAGATTACCAATTGCCATACCTGTCGGGACTGCTGGGACATATACGAAGCCCGGTGGTAGAACAGATAGCATTCACATTACGAGCACCCTGTTCCCACCAGTCCTTTATATGCACGGAACTTCTACATAAGAACAACAGAGAAGAACATGAAAGAAATTGCCCCTTCAAACCAATTAGTTATCTCTTCGTGGATCACTAGTGTTTATGGGAAGGGGGTCTTATACTCTCTATTCCTCATCTCCCAAGCCCATACCCAAGTTTTCATTTTGAACCTGTCCTCTATGTTGATCTTAGGATTTGACACCCAGATTACCATTACCAGAACCTGGGCGTTGATTCTCAACTGTTATGACCATCAGTTTTTCATCATTGCAACCAAACAAAACATATTCAGACTGTCATCCTATTAAAGTCCACCTTTTATCAAATAAATTTCTGGTTTGGAACTGGATCTACTTTCTTTATTTTAGAAGAAGTGGATGTACACTCCGTTGGTCTTCAACTCACATCGAAAAATATAATACCCAAAATCCTTCCAGAAATAGGTTCCAGGCTTTTTGTGACTGCAACAATTTCAAATTCGTCGTCTCAAACCAAAATGAATAATTCAATCTTGACCTTCCACAGATGTCTTCATCAATGTGCAAGTGGTGGGATTCCGATTCTCCTCCTCCATCTGCTAACGTGATAGAGGTTAAAGCATCTTCAATGCAAATAGGTTTAAAATTTGCACGAACTCAACGGCTGGCACAAAATATGCCAGTAATTCTCGTGCTACCTATCGGATATACAATATGAAGTGGCGTTTCAGGAAGAAGTTTGCCAAACCCAACTTTATATGAAACAACAAAATACTCCTAATTCAACACCACCTGATCCACAAACTCCCCTAAGATCTAATCAAAGAACAAATACTCAACCGCATCAAGGCCTTCAACCAAGGATAACCCAAACTCGTTGGTGCCATTTACCTTATATCACACTACCCTTAGAATAATATAACATAAGATATAAAATATATCTCATACTATGCTAAGTTAATTGTACTAAACACTATACCTATATAATTACAACGATATAAGATATCTCATGAAAATAATATATTATATTCATGTTTATTGGAACTATTATCATTGGGATTTATTAATAACCTTTACACTTGTATACAGAAAGTAAAGAAACTAATCTTGTAAACTCATATCCGCATTGCCAACAATTTCTGTCGCAGAAATTTTCAATTTCCATAACGTGACATGATAAAGAACTAATTGCATAATATTTAACTATAGTTCTAACAGAGAGAGAGAGAGAGAATAAATTGCCTCTGTAATAACTTTAAACTAACAAAACTTCTAATCTTACTAAAATCCAGCTTGCCCAAGAAGAACAAGCTCGATTTTGGAAAGGCTAGGATGATGTGAGAGCTGCAATTTTATTTTCAATTAAACTTTTACACAATTATATAAATCCAGAAAAATTATGGTTAAAATTTATATTAAATGCAAGGAAAATCGTCTAAAAAATTTTTCTTAACAATTAATAAAAAGATGGAAGGATATGATTGCGTTTTCCACTGTATTCACTTCCTTTAGAAGGTGACATCTTCCGAATGTGTCACCTGGAACTTTCCCCGAAATTCATCCATTGGCCATAACCTATAACATTTCCAAAAAAGAACAAGAGGAAACACAAAAAAGACCCTCCAATAAAAGGGAGGGGCCAATGACAATTGGGGTCGTCATCACGAGAAGTTCATCCTCACTGGATTCACACCTCGCTCGGATATCTCCATGAACTCCCTCCAGAAGGTATCTATATAATTTATATGTAAACTCTCTCTCTCCAACTTCGAACTCATGGACTTGTTAATATCGTGATCGAAACTTGCTTGTATAAAAGTTGGTTGTTATTGTTAAATTTATGTTTGGTGCACTTCTTAAAAATGTGTTGTCTCTCGTGTCACCTCTAACAGGATTCGATGTCATTTCTGATATAATGATGTCATCCTGACGTGGCTTCACGACATGGTGCCGACCCTCCAGTTACATTAAGCAGGGTTAGAAATTTAAAAATCTAATTGCTGATAACTTACAATAGTAGTACTTATTGTAAAACTGACAGGTTGCTTCCTTAAATTTTTTGAATCACTAAATTAGTGGAAAACAGAAATAGAGATTTCATTATTTGTCATCCAACTGCATTAATTTAGTGATACAAATAATTTTAAAATATCCATCAGGTGTCCGACGGGCAATCGGCTCTCGACTTCCAGTCGACCCGTAATAAAACCAGTCGTCGAAACTGCAAGGTGTACATTTTTTCCATAAACTACCAGATGATATGAAAAAAATAAAGCTTTTTTTATTGCTTACTATCCAGTCATTTATTCAGTCTATATGAAAAGAAATCTTGAATATCCCAACAAGCTGTAAGGTGTTCATTTACAATGGTTACAGTACATTCTCAATTTATCCCAAAAGAATTTAGTGTTGCACAAAACTAATGACTAAAAAAATTTTAGTCATTAGCTTTGTGTAACTTCCTATTAATTGAATATTCAATATATTTTCATTTCACTTATAAAATAATCTCATTTGGTATTTTTCAAGTACAGGTGTCCCTAACATTACATGAAAACATAGACAAGATAGTAATTGGGAACTAATTCAAAGGAAAAACAGAGAAAATCCATAAATAAATCAATTTTTATGTAATTAGTACAATACTGTCAATCTTCAATTGCATGAGAAATTTTCTGAATCTGGCAAATCTGGAATCTCACATTCTCGCTCTTGTGAAGGTTCTGGGATGGTGGACCAACAATTTTCAACTTTTTTTCTTTTTTTGAAGTGGTCGAGACTCTATAGAGAAAATAATAATGCTACCCATCAACAGAGTTCTTTGTAGCAAACCAAGGAATTTTGAATTTCTCTTGCAACTTTGTCAAGTCTATTATGTCAATAAATCTAATTGCGCTGTCAACATGCTCGAAAAATTCAGTCATTTGCCTTGTCAAAAGCTATTTGATGGGCTTAAAGATGTCGGATTCTCCTCCTCCATTTCTACAAACTCTTGGTGAGTTCTGTTGAGTGGGACTACGATCGAATTTGCCCAGTCTAAATCCTCAAATCCAAAAGATGTTGCGTGGCAACATCTTTTCTCGACAACATCTTGTCTCGAATTGTAAACTTCGGGCTAAATCTAGGTCGCATGCATAAGTCACGACTGTAAAATTTCAACCTGCCATTCATTTACAAAACTAAAATAGAGAATTCATAAATTGCATACGATGAGGGATAACCATAAGCTTCGAGTTGGAAAAATATGGCCAGAGTCGGCTACATTGAAGACAATTCAGTTTCGCACATCCCTACACAATTAGTTTGTAATATTTGGTTACATTAACGCATCCCAGGAAAACTTTTTTGGGAAACTGGGCCCTATTTAGGTGTTAATAATGTGAAGAAAACCCAGAAAATTCCTCATGGCTGTGCCCGAACCCATGACTAACTACTAGTGTTGTGTGATTTTATCCTACCGGAGAGCACTTAATAGAATTAAGAAAGTACCGTTCAGAAATGAAAAAACTAAGTTGTTAGATGTGGAAAATTATAGACTTTTCACAGTGTATAAGTATTTATGTATTTAATTTAAAGCAGTAATGATATAGTGCCTCTATTTCTCGCTGTCACAGTAATTAAGTGAATATAATATATATTTTCAAAAATAATATCCTTTTTTTTTGTAAGAATTCTATTTAGTTTAAATTTTTTGCCAATAGATGGCACTCTGCTTAAAGCCAAATCTAATGTAGATAGGTAATGTGTTGGTGAGAGTATCATGACACTCTCCTAGGGACATTCCAGATGATGTCTAGACTTTTGTTTATATAAGAAGATTCTTGTACTTTATACAGCTTAGATTAAACTCTGTGTTCCATCCAAGCAGTTTCTTTTTTACTTTACTCCGCTGCCACACCCTGCATTTATTACAACATAATGTCATAACTCTCACCCCAAAATATCAATTGAATTTCTATAAATTAATTAATTTTTAAGTTAGAGTACGTATGTTGTAACACAGTGATTCTCAACCTTTTTTTCTCATGGTACATTTTTAATAATTTTAAAATTTGGTGGTGCACACAGTTACTTCGGTAAGTACCACAGAACAACTGGTGACATCATAACAGTGATTTTTAAATGCAGTTGGTTATTTAGGTCACATTTTCTAAATGTCTTAGTAACTACAACAACTGGCAGTTACTGGTAACACCAGTTACAATTTCCAAACGTGCCCTAGGAAGGTAGAACCGATTAAACTACTTGTCTGACGTCAATTATGTATGGATATTCGCAGTGGCAGCACATTGGTTGAGAATCACTGTTGTAACAGGTCAAACAGCCTAGGAGTGCATATCAAACAAACAAACGTCCTTATTTATATAGATTTTAAATCAAAATAAGCATCTGTTTACCTTGTTCGGAATTAATGCCGTCTGTATCAGATTTCTGAATTTTCCCACCGTTGGATCCACGTCCTCTGTAACAAAAAGAAAAAAAAAACATGAATTATAATTCAAAATCAAATTCCAACTGATGCCAATTATGATTTGATGCATAGTGAGTATTTAAACTGGCGGAGGAAAAAAAACAAAAGTTCATAGAAAGGAGAAAGTTTTTTTATGGATGATAGAAGCAAGAGAATTGCTGTATTCTGTTTAGATGAAGTGCAAAAAGTTCAATTAAAAAAACCAAAAACAGTGTCACAAACCTTAAATTTCTTACTAATGATTAAAACAGCATTTTGAAGTGGACCACATCATATGAGGGTGAGTGAAGAACGAGAAGTTTTTGTGAGAACAGCAAATCTTATGGGATTGGTAAAACAAAATTGTAAACACACACATACATGCATCTGACAGCTTGGCACGACGCAAGTGGTTGACAGTTGCATACGGAAAACAAAGTCAGTTTGTGACAAGAAGTCTGCAGAAATTTCCATGGAAGCAAATAGCAAAGGTGAGCATTAACAACATTTTTGTGCTTTTAGTTTGGATCCAGTTTTCAACCCAGATCCAAACCTGTCTTAATTGTGGACAATTTTTTCTGTCTGGAATCAAATACTCCCAAAGAGTTTCAAATGTATTTTAAACTAACAAACACAGAACCGATTAAACATGGTATAATTATCAACGATCATTTTGTTTCATTTCTTTTCCCATTCCAAATTTTAATTTGTGCTTCTTCCCAGTTTCCGAGATTAAAATTTGGAATACAAAAGCAGAAATAACTCTAAAGCTTCAGAAAATTTAGAAAGATCTTACAATAGGGAAAATGGACAAGATGGATTCACAAATATAAATAGTTCTTATGAAGAAATTTGGACCTCATTTTGTTTTAAAGCATCCGAATCACAATTCTTCTGTATTCCAAGATTAACAGAAATCATTTTAAGATTTTTCGTGTTTTACTGACTTTCTGTAATCTGCAATATTAATATTTGGACAAATAACTTAATTTTATTACACCAATTTTAACAACAAAGACTGAAATATTTTAAATCAATCCGATGAGCAGAAGATGCGTATTTTGCTATGTACTCTTAAGACACATTACATTGCAGCAGCCGACTGATCGAAGTCATTCAATAACTCTACTTTCTGCACTTCAATGAGGAGACACCTGGAACTTTTTGGATATTAAAACAGTCAAATCACAGAAGGAACAGACAAGAGTAGATGCAGGTTTGAAGTGTTATCAATGCAGAAAAAAGTCAGTAATTTTTGGAATTTCAGAGTTGAAGATAAAGAACTGTCACTTATTTGAAAGGTCATTGATTTTGATCCAAATCATACAAGCATATTTGTTATAATTAGTTCTACAGAAATGCTCCAAAACATCTTGCACATATGAATGTATATATGTATATACATACTTTATATTGTTTTTTTCCTCTAAAATATGTATAAATGGACATATATTTTCTTCTTGTTTCTTTACGGATGGTGAGTGGAAGTCCCTAGTGTGTATGTGAATGTTTTCAGAGAATGGAAGACACTAATGTGCATGCATGCATACAACTGATTTTTTCTTTTTTTTAAGAGGGGCAAATGTGAAAAAAGAAGAGGATTCTCAGAAGTGCTTTGTGTGCATGCACACAATGGATTTTCAATTTGTATCTACATGTGTGTGTAAGATGGAATAATGGAAGATAGTATGTCGGAATGACATACTATATACAGAATAATATGCTGCCAGCAACTTTAAATATGGTAATTTCACATTGAAGACGATCCGGAGAGCTTTTCTTTCATTATATAAATATTTTTGACACTAAAGATGAAATATCCATTGGGAAAATACATACCTGGCAACCACAGAAGTATGAATTTACAAACTGTCTTGGGACAAATAGTATCAAAATTTCAGTCTTGTTACTTGCACATAGAATGACTACAAGTTTGTAAATTAAAATTTTATTTGCAAAGCTCGTGATACTGAAGAATTATCAGTTATGAGCTGTGATTGTATTGTATCAATGTTTGACATTTTTCTAATTGTTAAGTGTATGTTAATAAATCTGTCGTAAGTATGTAGGTAATGTCATCTTACAAAATATTTTTGAATAAAAAATTAAGACTGCTTACCCGGATTGATAATTTCTTCTTCGTCTTTAAATTTGACAGCTATTACTTTCCTTTTCCTGCTCGTAGTTTTTATTTCTTCATCTGTTATCCCCAACATACTGATTCTTCTATTGTGGGCAGTGTTAAATTCAGTCAAGTTCTGTTAATTAAAATATTTTTTTGTTTTAGATTTAATAATACGATTTATGTAAATCATAAACATACACAAAATGCAGATTTTACATAAATATTACTTACATCTAATTCAGTTTCAGTTTCCGGAAGACCCAACAGGCCTCCCTCCAGCTCTTCTCCGACCTTGTCTTGTTCTTCCGATGTTGATCTGGAAGATTTCTGTGGACGCTCTCTTAGAATGTAGACACGAGTGGAGGCACCGAAGTGAAACGCCGTGTCGACGGGCAACTGCGTCGGTTTGTTCGATTCTAGCCGGACGTTTCCAATAAATGTTCCATGTGCTTTAAATTAAATCTTAATGTAAATTAAGACAACGTAAAGTGTGTTTGCCATGTTTAGTCTATCAGAAAACCAGACTACCTAATGAATGCCTTTCCGACAATTTAAAATAAACAAAATCCAACTTACTGCTTCCCAAATCCACTAGAAAAGCTCTGTTAAGATGTTTATGATATACTAAGGCAGCATGAACTCTGGAACACGAAGCATGATCTATACAAAAATCATTTATTTCCGGATTCCTTCCGAACAAGTAACATTTCTTTTCGTCGATCATTAATTTCTGTAAAAAAGACAATAACAAGAGAATATTTAATAGAAAATATTTAATAAATTTTCAGATTATGCAGAGATAAATTATGTCTAGACTCACCTGTATGAGCTTATCGATTTTTAAAACATCCAAATGAAGACCTACGGGAGGCTTTCCGGCCCTAAAAATTTAACAGAACATGAATTACAATTTTAAAAATAAAAACATGTTTAAATTCTTATAATTTGGCTACTCAAATGCCGAGTTTACGCAGAAAAATCTTGAAGACAAATCAATCTACAGATAAGAATGATATGTTAAAATTCCAAGAAAGATTTACGATTCCATTATTAGAACAATAATTGCCAAATTTAATAAATTCAAACAAAATATTAATTTTTTGATCATCTCAAATTGCCCGAGACCATAGATAAGTGTCCCTTTCATATTCATTTATATAATATACATATACAAAAATATGTATGTTATATCATTATAAACACAAAAATAAGTAATTTATAATGCATATCGTACTTTGTCTAGGACCGTTAAGACTGGATTTGAAATATTAGACTAAGAATGCTGACAAATATAGATAAATGTGTATTCGTGCAGTTACAAGATCTGAAAAATAAGAGGCTTTGACCAAAAGTGTAGACTGTCTGTGCTCAAAAGCACCACCGTGCACAACAATACTTTTTAATTAATTCATAATCAACCGGTTCTAAGAAAACTAAAAAAAAAGGAGAAATTAGCTACAATAATAAACATACAAAGTTAATTGAATAATGCATTTACGTTTTTTCCAGATTAAATATTTAAAAATTGCTATAGTAATTTCATTAATAATTAATTAGTTAATGGATAATAAACTTTGATATTGAAAACAGATCATTTTTACATACAGTTAAGGAACAAATTCCAAATGACACTTTGACCAAAAAAAAGAAAAAGTCACATGAACATGAGTCCAGTTCTTAACAGTTTCAAACTTTTTCCTAAAAAGAACTGTCACACCCACTCTAACTCCCTTGGATTTTTGTATTTGGAGACAAACAAAAAATGTTTTTATATGACGAAAGTATAAATATAAATTACTTTTCTGAATAATGAATGACATAACGCTCGATGGAGATCACACACTGAGATCAAACATGCAACGTGCATGGTTACCAAAAAGTTCACTAGAAATATAAAGAGAAATCTTTGAAAATTCTTCTGTAAAACTTGTGATTTCATAATAACTTTCGAGCACTCAATTTAGTAACTTTCACTTTTACTCTATTCAAAACTACTACTTCCATCTTAACTTGATACGATTGCAAGATATATTTATGCAACCAAAAATACAATTGTAACAGTGCCACAATAAATGTGACTCTGGACTCTGGAGATCACCCGTAGAAGATTCAGAATGTGTATCAACAATGACTTTAAATGAACACAGACTCTAATTCCATTTTACTGAAGAAAAATTGCTTACACAATCTAAACTTTTCCTTGTACTTTTGACCCATCTTCGGGTGTATTATCTTCTAAAATAAGATTCCTGAGATGAATCAGGAGATCCCAAATTACTAGGAAAGGTTCAGGAAGTATATTGTGCAATTTTGTTGTCTCCAATAAAGTGGGATTTGAGAGCCAACTGGAGATTTCTTTACAAATGCAGACTTTAAAACTAAGAACAAACATCTGTTATCAATATTTTAATCTTTGAAGTTAGACTATTTACAAAAACATATTAATATTTTCAAGTTTATCATTAAATTCTTTTCACACAACCACAGAAGACACAGTTATATTGGTTAGAAGATTATTAATATTAATATGTTTTTGTAAATAGTATAACTTCAAAAATTAAAATATTGAAGAATATCCTGAGTTAACATTGAACATTGTAAATCTGTTATCAAGTTACAGGAATGAATATTTTAAATACTTTTATACCTGTAAATTTGTCAATATGCTATCAATTGAAAATTTAATTGAAATATTAAATTAACTCAAAATGTTATTACTGTAAATTCAGTCACTACAATTACATGAATAGTATCAGGCTCACATAATTTGATCTACCGAGGACCTCTCAATGAATCTGTGAGCCATTGCAACTTAGAAGTCTATTCGTGCACCTCAGATAACCCAAATGATCTGCTCCTATAAAAAGTACTTTTTTACGAAATAAAACTAGGATCACATTTGTTGTTTTTGAGGCCAACAAGTTGAGCCGAGCACCCAAAATCCCAGCTTAAACGTACGGTAGTGTTTTCCCATGATTATTTCCTTCCATATGATTGCAACCTTGCTTCTGCACACACTGAGATTTTTTTTATTTAATTGCATCCGCTCATTCGTTCCATCGATATATATTAGAACTGGCCCATATTTCATGCTATATGTCTTTCTTCCTTTACAACAACACATATCTCCAAAAATTAGGATTCCTATAAGTGGCCCATTTTGAGGGACTTACATGAGTTAGTAATATGGGCACTCAAAAACCAAGTCATAAAAAATTTCCTCCCCAATATCATTTACACTAGATATGAGGATGATATACTTGTTTTATGGAGGCCTAAACCTAACATGGAAAAATAACTGGCAGAGTAATAACAACTCTTATGGTATAACATTACACCCAGACCAATACAACACCTCCAAAGTTCGTTTTTTAGATGTAAATATCTCACTTCAGAATGGGTCAAGCTTTGAAAATCAGAAGGATGTGTTTGATGATGCGACAAAGTTTCGTGCCAAGAAACATTGGAATGTCGTTGGCAAGAAACAGACAAAATGCCAAAGAGATCATAAATGCAGTATATCATTAAGAATCTAAAAGTCCATAAAATATAAGCATTTTGTTATTTTCCAATCTCTATCACTCTGGGGGACTCAGGATTAAATCCGGACTGTTGATAAACCTAGGAATTTTTTATGGGAGGTCTACCCGTCCCTCGTTGTGGCTGCCCCCATTGCGAGCCTGGCTAAACCCATGATGAAAATGATTAAAAGGATCTCTTACTATCAACAGGGTAAAAAAATTAAAAACTTTTTAATTTTTTAACATCCTTTTTATCAATATTCCATTATATTATGTACATAAATCTCTCACACGGAGATTATAATCGATAGCATCTGTTATAATCAATCACAATGATTCTTCTTGGCAATACATTTTCTTACAGCAAATCAATATCAAATAATGTAGATTTAATTCCATTGAATATATATTTATAATTTGTAAAGATTTTATACAGTTTAAATTTAAAAATATGTATATTTAAATCAATAAATAAGTGTTTGTAGAATGTTATTGGCATCCATCTTCAGCTAATTGATTTGAACACCATTTTTGAAAAGATTATTTCATTTTCTTTCTAGTAATTCGAGAAGTTAAGATTATTTTAAAACAAAAATGTACCGAAATATATCAATAAACAACTGATATGGAACGCAAAATATAATTATAAATAAGTAGCAAATAATAATAGAGATATAAAACATCCCTTAAAATAAATTGGTAACTTGCAAAAGGATTTTTGCAGTCTGTTAATACAATTGCTGTTAATTAAAGGCCACTGTTCACGAGCAACAAAATTAAAATGTTAGATAAGTGACAGAGAATGGCCGACGATAAGTGTGAACCAACAAATCTATTCTGGTATATTTGTAACTGGTTGAGATCAATAGAGATAACGGAATAAGCTAGTTGTGGCTATTTGTTATTGTCTTATTGTTCTGGCGGCATGCATCAAATTTAACACATTTGTGATTTCAATAATATCAAGTATTTAATGGTATTTGTACTTAAAATTTTATGTTCAATACATTTATTATAAATGTTCTATTTTTATAGTGTAGTAGAGAATTAATAAAAGCAATTTGTGAACTCTATAATCTACAAATTACTTTTAATAATTCAAGATATTACATTAGATGAAACTTAAATTTGAAAACTAATTTATGGGAATAAGATAAATCTAATCTTTGTAGCCCAAAACAGTGTCGAAAAGCCAAATAAACCAGAATTAATGGGGTATTGAAATTAAAGTCTAAACTTGGTCACAACGGTTTTAGTACTTTCGAAAATGAGCTCAAAGTACTGGATTAAGAGAAATTTCATGATTTTGATCTATACGAAAGCAGAAAGGTGTTCACTGCCTATATATATTCCTTCGTGGACATATCCAAGACCTGTACAGATACCATACATTCTTCCTGAAGTGTGGCCCACAAACTCTGAAAATGAGGCCCTCCATGTCGAACCGTCTGCCATCATAAATTCATACCAAGTAATTTTCCCTTCCTTTTTTGTTTTATTACTTTTGGAATGTGTTAAGATATAACTTGTAAGAAAAATGAGTTTTTGTCATAATAAAGTATTATTTCGTGCAATTAGTATACACTGTTTTTCTTTCCTTTTTTGGCCTGCCAAATATCTTGGATTTTACAATTTGTCCCAACTGGTCAAAACATTGAGAACCCATTTTAAAGTCATAATACTCATTTAATTGGAACCTTATCTGTACCAATTTTATTCAGAAGACAAAGACTCTTGAGACTAAAACTTTCTTTGTTGTTTTAATCCAAGGAAGATCCAGCAAGGTTTTTCTGGTCCGATACGCATAAAACAATTGTGATAAAATGTTATAAAAATAAGTATTACCAGTAACATAACAACAAAATAACGGAAAACAATTGAGTTATATTACAAAGAATACAGAATATGTCAATAAAAGTAACAATTCTTTCAAATATTTTTAGTATATTTCAATTATAACATTATCTTCTGTAATTCCTATTTCCAACAGTCCTAAATAATTCCAATTTTACAATGTTAAAAAATGACTGATAAATTTAAAACAGTATGCTATTGCTTCACCCCAGCATGGTGTATATATACTTACAGGATGGTCATAAAGTAACTTGATCAACTAACAACAACCTTGGGAGCGTGGAAAGCAAGGAAGCCGTGGAAACTTTTTCAGGATAAGTAGTGGGTGAAGTGTGCTCACAGTACACGAAAATAGAATAGAACATGTTACAATTTAAGTTACGGTTATGGCCGACATAATCGTAACTCAAAAATTTCCAATACAAACACTGGGAATTCACAATGTTACGAGATTCTGTATGACAGAAAATGGCATTGGAATGGTGTGCATAGAACAAAAAACAACAAAGATATCAGTGTTTGAACAACAGGAAGTGGGCGAACCATTACCTGCAACAGAAGACTCATACACATTTATGGATTTATGGACAAAAAAAATGGGAAAATGAGCACTTTGTTAAATTCTGCTTGACAAATACTTTTATAGCCCACAGCCAATGTCACAGTGAGCTTCAGCTACAATGCTTCTAACTTAATATAGCACAAAACACAAAACAGTATATTGATAACAAAATTAATAAATAGAATTTATTAATTTAGAGGTAATCATTTCCAAATTTCAAAAAAGGAAAACATTGCATGCCTAAGTCAATAGGCATGTAAGATTCTGTATATTTACTTCACAATTCATAGAAACCAACTTTTTTGAGTAAATGCATTGAAGCGAAGAAATTATCAGTTACATGATATGTAAATGGTTTTAAGTAAAGGAAATAAGAAATGACATACAGTCAGTGTACCATTGTTCTTTTGTTATTCCTTCACCTTACAATTAGTAATGTCAAACAAAGAATTTTATACGTACATAAAATATAAGAACCTTCAAAGTATTCTACAAGTTATCAGTTACTCGCTGCCGACACGAAGAAGGCAGCAAGTAAGTGATCGGCAAATTTTGAGATCTCGTCTCTCGCCGTATTGGAAACTTTGGTTAACATACACAAGATTATATTAAATAAAAACATTTTATAAAATTTTACAAATCCTAAATTCAAATCAATTTTACTCATTCAAACACAAAATGCTTTAGGAAGAATTAAAGATCAAGCTAATAATCCAGCATCTTCAGTTTTATTTTGTTTGTCGAGTTCCGATATCAGATCTATAGCATAAAAGCATTTGAATTTTTTACAATGTTTTTGCTCTTTTTACAAAATAAATCATAATCTCAATAGCAATAGGTACAATTCATCAAATCTTTTTCTTTTTAGATAGAAAAACATACACATCTATGGGGGGCTTGGAGATAAAAAAAAAGGATAGAAATACGTCACATAGCATAATTTTCGGGGGCTATATCTCGTAAAGGGTCACATGGTTCCTTTGACTTGGAGTATGCTCTACAGCTCTGTTAAGCTCCTCAATTCAGAGCTGGAATCGAGCCCTAACTTCTACTGAAATATTTCAGTTTTCTCCACCACGTACCCGCAGGCCAGAGAAGCAATATTCCCAACAATCTTTTATTTATTTCGGCAAAGAAAGTACTTTCGATTTTTTTCGCCATACGTTCCTTAATCGGGGTTATCGAGTGGGGCATTTTCCCCTAAGCCAGAAAAAGAATTCAAGGGTGCTGCAGCAATACTTCCCCTATAAATGCCACTTTTACTAACAAAAGAGATAATCTTTAAGACCATTTTTCATTAATAAAGAGACATTCTACATATTTCATTCCTTCAAAGACACCGCAGAAGGAACCCGTTGAGGCACAAAAGGAGCCCGCTCCGTTCCCATTTTAAAATGTAGTAAGTGAGAGTTACTTTTAGGTCATTTTTGTATATACATAAATCACCTTAAAGTAATTGCTGCATGCTTACAGAATGGCCTAAGTTACTGACAAAGATTTGCATAATTATAAACTTTATTTATCATTATTTTAAAGCTTATTTAACGTATAACAATCCGAAACGTTTTATAACAAACCCGACATCATAAATTTACCGAAATTTAATATATAAATACAAAAAACTTGCATAGAAATCAACACATCCTCATACAACTTACCATGTTGGAATTTCATAGTGATTCGCCATTGGAATCTTTTAATACGTTATAATCAACGACATGTCTTCATATCAAACGATTTATCTACTTTAACACAATCTACGACGTTTTAAATTTAATTAAATAACAAATTCATCACGTATTAAGTCTTACTTTCTTTATAAATCGTATAAAACTCGGGAGCACGAACCGACATGAGACTAAAGTTAAGCCTAACGTCTGCTACGATCGTCGATGAATTTCTATTTATTCTTTTCCTTTTCTTTTCCTTATAAAAATATTTTAAATACGGAAATTAATTTTATAAAAATATTATTTAAGTTTGTTAATTATTTTAAAGTCGATTTATTTCATTTTTTTTTAATATTTATTTTTATATTAAAGTTTGCTTTCTAACGGAAAAAAGCGCCACTCAGCGTACGTTTCGGTCACTTCGTCCGATAACAATTGCCAGTTGTCTGCTTGCAATATTATTATATTTTAATTTTAGTTTTTCCGTCGTGAAAGAATTGTATTAATTAATTTAAAATGGCTGCTGATATTATTTCTTACGCTTACTCGGCTTTAGTGGCTGTTGGTGGAATCGTCGGTTATATGAAAGCTGGTAATGAAATTGATTAATTTATTTGAAAATTAATCACGTGCTTAATTGATCATTGATACTGTGTTTACATACTTAAAATTTATATATAAACTGCCGAAAAAGTAATTGTAAAATGTTGGAAATTAGATAACTTCTCTAACAAGTTTTGGTTTAATTAAGTTGTTGGTATTGGTTAATTATGATTAAACTTCATTTTTATTGATTAAAATTATGTCTGAGCTCATTAAATTGGTTCATTTGTGTCCACAGATTGATTCTAAATTAAGCATACATATCAGCAAATAATATAATATTAACAGCTTTAATTGTTTATATCTTTGTTCCTTTTAAAAGAAAAACACCTGTTACATACTTCTTCCTTATTGTCTTTCTACTGTGAAATCAATACAATGTTTACAGCATTCTACTCCCACTTTCTCTTATCAAAAACTTGTGTACTCGATTATTTCTATAGATTTTGATTGACGCGAGGTTAGAAATACGCAAATGGGTTGTCTGATTTACTAAATTTTCGAAAGATAAAGCCGAGTGCATTCAATGCATCCTGTTGTATGTTTGCATGTATAACAAAAGTTTATATCAATTCTCTGTGGTATTATAATAGAACCAAATAAGTCAAAGATTAACACTGTGTATGTTTGCTTTTTATTGAATTATACAGAAATTTTTGAACAAAATGTCTTTTCTTATTATGTAGAGTGTGATATTAATACGTCGATTTCATGTACTGGTGCATTTATAAAAGTGACTCCAGGTATTTGTTATTTGCCGAATGATGTGTAAGCGTGGACGATTACTCGTGATATCACTCGACAAATGTTCCGTATTTGTCGTTTCCCACTCCTTGGCGTATTGTGCCAAATCTTGGACAAATGCTTGTAATTCCGACAACAGACCGATGCTCGGCAAATAATGTGTGTGTATATACTAAATGCTAAATGACATATTCACAGTTTAGATTAAAATTGCATAGTAAAAGTCAACAAAGTTACAATGCTTGATGTGAGAATAGGAAGTTATTTTATTTTATATTAAATATAAATTTATTTATTTACAGAGGAAGAGTTTTTTCTTGCATTATTCAATTTATTTACTTTTTACTTAGATAGAATAAATGAGCTCTCTTAAAAAAGAGACACGTCTTTGCAATAATTCAGCATAGAGTTTAGTTCTAACAAAATTTTTTGTATTTCTATGATTATCATAAAAGGTTAGTTCTATCTGTTGATTAGCATTCATCATCTTTTAGTTGTCAATGGAAATTGTTACTTTGAAGTAACAGAATGAATCAATGTAGAAAACAACATAAATGAACATGTCTTTCTCATTGCATAGACGTTTGAAACTTTCTAATGTTTTCAAACTGGTTAATATCTTATCTTCAAGTATACTAAAACCCATTTCTTATTTTATTCTACACGTGAAGATGGCCTATTAAGCAGGTTGAAAACATTGAAAAATTTCAAACTTCTAAGCAGTACTAAAGATGTGTCTGTTTGTTCCAAAACTTTAAAATAATAGATATTTAATGACAGGAATTTAGTTTGATTACCATATTAAGAACAAGACTCTTGAATACTTGATATGGCAATGCTCTAGTTTGTTGTGAATTTTAAGCACCCAAAGCAAGAGTACCCACTGGAGCCAGGAAAGACAGTTTTTCCTCCTGAGATTTGCTTTATTATTTCTTTTTATGATTCTTTCTAATAAGAATTTCATAAAAATTAAATTTATTTTAATGATTATTAGACTAAAGTAACTAGTCTGTACACAATAAGAAGACACTTCTAGTTCTCTTTGGAACAGACTATATATAATATAGTCAAAACATAATTTTTTTATTATTTACAGTATTTGTTTTAATCATTTTTAATTTTTATCTTTTTCGCATTTTACAGGAAGTATCAGTTCCCTGATTGCAGGATTAGCATTTGGCATAATCTTATCCTTTGGAGCCTATCAGACATCTCAGGATCCAAATAATTGTTATCTTTCGTTAGGTTAGATATTTAATAACTTTGTAATAAGAATATTTACTGGAATATAATTACTTCAATAAATTTATTTATGATAATATAGTTATTTTTTGATTATTATAGGTGCTTCCATTGTTTTAGCAGGTGTTATGGGAAGTAGATTTTTGAACAGTGGAAAATTTATGCCTGCTGGATTAATTATGAGTTTAAGGTAGGCAAATCTTTTAAAATAGTTCTATATTTTTATTTTATATAGAAAAAGATTTTAAATGCCTTTATAAGGTGATAAATGCATAACATTACACAAATGCCATGAAAAATAAAAAGAATACTTCATTTTTATTAGATATAATACATTAGAAATGGAAGTAAAAACAAAAAATATATATTTTATTTAATTTAGCTTGAAAAATAATGTTTTAATGTGAAATCTGTGATGCTGAGAACAGAAGAGTGAGGATATGTGAACAATTTATGAATTGGATAAGAGATCCTCTATATTGAATTGAAAGTCAGCTAAATTTTTAAGTTTTTTCTTTCAAATTTGTAAAATACTCTTCTGTTATTTTGAAACTACAGTTAATTCACCTAAGAAAAAATTAAATTTATTCACTAGTTCTACTAGTTCTTATTGATATTTTGTATAGTAGTATACTATTTTCTATTAGCAGAAGGTGCCACCAAAAACAATGTAGCAACTCTCTTGCTCATTTCTATGCATTTGGAGCTAGAACTATTTAAAATGACTAAGACAAAACCTTTCTCACTTTGTTTCTAGCCGGTTAAACACTGAGTACAAATGTTTACAGCCTCCTTAATAGGCCTTCTTCAGGTACACTGTGGTCTGGTAGATATAGAATGTCGGTTGGTAGATATTCAAATGGCGTAAAATCGAAATTTAGTAAACAGTGACACCATTTGAATATCTACCAACCGATGTTCTACCAGACCACAGTGTACCTGAAGAAGGTCTATTAAGGAGGCCGAAAAACACTTGTACTGAGTGTTTAAATGGCTAGAAACAGTGAGAAAGGTTTTGTCTTAGTCATCTCTTGCTCAATTTGTAAATTGTTCATTCTCCTCATTCCTGTTTCCAAAGCATTGCAGATTTCAGATTTAAATATTTTATTTAATTCCCCTGGAAAAAAAATGAAATAGTTTCTTTTTGTTTCTACTAGTTTGATGCTTGATTAGTTTCTATCATTTTTTTCATGTGAATGTGCATTTGATCAGTTTAATTTTTATAAGTTATATTTCTATAGTAATAGGTAATTATTTCGATAACCAAGTCCATCAGGAAATGTACGTACAGTAGACCCCCTATAACACGGTAGATATGTTCTGTGTTATATGAATTCCATGTTGTACGAGTCACTTAAATACATAAGCCAATCATAGCCTGGCACGTGTACAGTTTAGCGGCTATGGCTGTTTGCAAGGTTTTCTTCCATAAAATTAATCGATTCTAGACTAATTTGACTCAACATTTCCAAATCACATATAATTTTTTGGGAATAATCCATATAAACTATGCTATAAACAAAAAATTGTAGGATTACTTACCAAGTGCGCACCATTTGAAGACACCATTGCTTAAACTTGTTTTTGTCTTGGAGTGGCTCATCGAATGGCAGGCACATGTTTCCTGATAAGTTATTTTTCTGCAAAAAATTTGCTGAACTTTGGAGACATTATTAATATAAATATAATTTTTATGGCCATTAAATAATAAATGGTTTTTAGTAGGTCCACTGCTCATTTAAACTCAACAGTTTATGCAATGTCCACTACTGGTCCAGATTCGACCAATCCTGTCATGACACGAGTTGGCGATGACGTTTTACCATATTATAAGAGTCTCTTTTAGTGTGTTATATGAACACAATTGCAAGTTTTTTGCCATGTTATACAAATCCATGTTATATGAACCCATGTTATAGGGGGGATCTACTGTACAGAAATTTTTGTGTGTCTTGACAATGGGCTTGGTTGTCTGAAATTGATAAAGAATAAATTGTATACAACCTAACTAACATAATAATTATCTTCAGTATTCTTGTAACTTGCATAAGATAAATAGAAATAGATATATATCCTTTGCATATTTCAAGTATACATCCTTTGATGTAGCAATATGCAATTACAGTACAAGATATACAGTGTGTATCAGTACAGCAGTTACAAACTTTCAGGAGAGATAGAGTACACCTAGATGATGAGAAATCACATAGCAATGCATGGTCAGAAATGCTTTCCTGGAACTTACTGCACGCATTGTGGCAGCTGCTGGAGACGTCCGGGACATGCCCAGTATTTTCAACAACATTAGATCTTCAATGCACTGGAGATATGAGGTCTGCCCAGAGTCATAATTTCAAACATGTTCTTTGATTTTTGCAGTACTAAGAATAATAAACATGTTTTCTTGCCCTGTTCATGTCCTTCCTTTCTTGTGTTTTGTGTCGTCACTACCGTGCCAGGAAAGCATTTCTGACCATGCATTGCTATGTGATTTCCCATCATCTAGGTGCATTCTATCTCTCCTGAAAGTTTGTAACCGCTGTACTGATACACCCTGTATATATATTTTATACATGCATGGTTGATGTATAGGATATACAGTAAACATAACTTTAAATACTACTATTGTAACTGGAGAAACAATTAACTTGTGTAAGGCTGAGACTTCACTAGCGTAAAAACGGGCGTAAAACCCCTCACCGTAAAAGCTTTTTATCACATGACCATGATATTTTACGCTTGAGCAGGTCATAAAACCAGTGTTAAAGAAAGTTGAGCAGCATTCAACTTTCAACGTGAATACAGCTGTAAAATGATACCATCCACCAATCAGAAGTCAGTGAAATCTAGGTCATTGTGACACAGTGCGAAAATGGCAGAAAACGAGCTTTTGTGTATGTTCTCTCATGGTTACTCTAGAATACATCTGGAAAGATTTATCAAAAACATCCGAAAGTATTCATGTATCTACGACAAGAGGTATCCTGATTATAATAATGGATGCTTAAAACACACGATATGAATGGCCAAAGGAAAATCCTTCAATTTAGAGGAGTATATAATAAAAAAGCTAAGCTTATAAGTGCTGTATATTATCTTAATAATATGATAATAAAAGTTAATATATGAAAGTAAAGATATTATTTTTACTACATTTGTAATTATAGTATAGAAAAAACTCATAGAATATAATCATTGTCTTTATATCAATATATGTATACAACCATAACTTCAATAGTACCGTCGCCGTAAAAACTTTGCTAGGCGGACCTCCACCACAATCCAGACACAAATACAAATAGGTCACGTGATTAAAAGTTATTACAGCGAAGGTTTTTATGCCCGTTTTTATGCTAGTGGAGTCTCGGCCTAACACTCAAACTCCAGTAGGAAAATGAAATATTTAAGTATACATAACAAAGATTCTAAACTGAAGTTCAAAAAGCTTTCACATATTGTTTTCTGTCAGAAATACAGTATGACATCAACTTGTGTTTTTTTGGGCATTGTTAGTTAGTTAGTTGGTAAGCAGGGCTGTTGAGAGGGGACATTAAAAATTTAGGGACTGGTAGTGGTTCCTACCCCTATAAATTAAGGTTATTTCTACTAACAAAAAATAAAATTGTGGAGCCGCTCTTCTCCTGAGTCCCATACCGAACTTTCAATCTCCCTGGTTGTAACTCAAAGTGTTGCAATCTGTTAAGCACCTGATAGATTGAACATTTAAAAAATGTCACCCTAAATAGTGATGATGTTAAATAATGAATGTGTATAATTAAACTAAATAGTTTTTACTACTTTCTAAAACTGACCACATTATTCTACCTTTTTTCAGATTAATTTTATAGTAATGGAAACCTTATTTATCCACAAACACATAAACAATCCTTACACATACACATTTTATATAGTAAATTTTATAGTCTTTTATTTAATCAATATTTTAATATTTTATGGAACATACTTATATATGAACATATCTTTTTTCAAATTAATTATTATATTTCTGTTACAGGGAATGTTATCAAATGAAATCATAAATGTCAAAACTTTAATGATATCTTACACTTCTTTATTATCAACTCCCAAATGTAATCCTGTACGCATTAATAATACCAAATTCATACCATGCTTTCCCATAGCATACCAATATTTTGTTGATCTATGCATAGGGCCTAGGTAGAAGGATTGTAAATGTTATTAAAAACTTTGATGCCTACACTTTCATTTCGTAATAAAGGGCCTTCCAAAATGAATTCTACCACTTTAAATTACTGTAATTACATTGATTATTAACATATATGCAGTGTACACCAATCAATAGATTAACTGTCCGAGTTTCCTCTCCTGACTGCATTCAATCAACTCGTCTTCTACTACCTCTAGAAAGCACTGTAAACAAAAATGATGACTCTGCAGTACAGAAACATTTTGTGTTCTGCAGTTTGTAAAGTCAGAATCACTCGTTACTATGCAATGAGAGTAATCTGCAGGTGCTGTAGAATTGTTGCTGCTGTGGGTGGAATAAGGATATACTGCAATGCGCACAGGGAGAATTTGAGTATCACTTGGATGCGTGGATGTGGCACAAGGTACACACATTGAGAAATTATAACGGACAAATGTTTTCCAATGTTTTAATATACTGTAAATTAAAAGGTTTTCAGAAAATAATTAATATAATTACAATAATTTAAAATGGTAGCATTCTTTTTGGAAGACCTTGTATTTCTGTAAGAAACTACGTAGTTAATGTCAAAAATGTTGATATTTTATTTCAGTTTTGATTAAACTTGTTATTTGTACAAGTGATTTTTTTCCATCATCCTTATTCATTAAACTAATAATTTTTCTTGAAAAAATAATGGATTATTAATTTATTTTTAAAAATTATGTATATGTAAATTATTATTTGAAAGAGGGAAAAGCTACATGTATTTTTATAATTGTTTTTTTTTTTTTTTTCAGTTTAATGATGGTTGTTAGATGTTTGAAATATGTTTTGTTCAACAGACAACAATCACAATAATAATGTACATCTCTTCTGCATTATTGCTTTGTACATTTTGAAAATTGGTGTATGAATATTTTTAATTATGTTTTTTAAGAAAAGTCCATAACTTTTCTACAGTTAAAGAATTATAATATACTTAAATTTGTTAAATAAAATAACATTCCATAATTTATCAAATTAGAAAGTGTTGTTATTTATCAAATTATATAATTAAGTTGGACTGAACACTGTTGGAGAAGTTATGAATATTATTATGTTTGCATCATTCATTATATACTTAAAATTTTATATGTGAATTTACATATTGATTAATGTATTCCTGTTCAGACCAGGCCATAAGCTTAGATCTGACAGACATCTATATAATCTAAGTTTAGGTTGTTGTAGATAAATGATTGTCAAACATTACACATTAGTAAACAATTACGAAATGATAAAAATGTGTGATTTAAAACCTGAATATTTGATCATGGAGTAGTGTATAGCTAGTGTTCACACTGCCTAAGACAGTTGTTAGTTCACTGTTCCTATAAAAAACGCAACATAAACACCAACCATAGGCTGTGTAAGCAAAAAGTGGGAAAGACATACAGTCGTAGAAAAAATATATGAAAAAATTTAGGATATTGTTAATTAAACAAAACTAAGTGCTTAAATAGGTACAATGATCAATAAGATCATCTTTGAAAAAACATGGTCCTTGCAGTGTTTTTGTGGAAAAGTAAAATTGCATAGGCATTTTGTATCCTTTTACTATCTTGACAAAAACAAAATCTGTTCATTCAGGGCCGTGCGGTAGATTTTCTCAGTATGATGCAAGTCTTTGAAATGCTTTGAAATGCTGAACCCCTTACGGTCTTTGCAAGTCTTTGAAATGCCGCCTCTCTCTTTTATAGCCGTGTTCATTGCAATAGACTAAAAGTGTCACCTGGGTTAGGCCATCCTCCCATAGATATGCTAGAATGGGGATAATTGGTTATCTGTGGTCAGTGTCAGTATCTTTTCTTCTGTGACCGTGCCATTTATTCTAGTGTCTTCATGCATGTTTTGTGTTATATTTGCAGTATACTATGCTACAAATACAAATATAAATTCAATCATACATTTTTCTTATTACTATTTTTCATATACAGAAAAAGACACAAAGACTACCAAATAACAGCAAAGAACCTAAAACCTGTGTGCAACATAATTACAGTTAATGACAGTTAAATTTCCAAAAAATGGCTCTAGAATAACTACATCAGACCATCTTTATAAATCTAAATAGAAACATTTATTACAATAATTTCATGAGCACATGTTAATCTTGATATTATTATAATTAAAGTTTTATTTAATTGTTTAATCAATTAATTTTTGTGAATAATGGAAAAGATAATTATTAAAACTAAACAGAACACTGAAAGGAATTTTAAATATTTGAAACGGACGAATAGGAATAAGCTATTGTAATCACGTGACTATTTTCAAATTCATTGGACAAATGTGATATTTAAATTTTTTTTTCCAGTTATAAAATAGTGAATGTATAAAATAGATTAATCAAAAAATATTATTTAATCTAATTTAATACATTCTTAATTTTTATTCACATAATTATTTTTGAACATAATGAAAAATTAATGGAATGATTCAACACTAGATGGCAGTTAATGCGACGTCGCCCTTAACTCTATGACAAATTTTTGATCGAAATAAACGCTTCGTAGCTTTAAAAAAATTGTTTGTAGAATTTTATAAAATAATTTTTGAATATTTTATTTTTTCGGATAATTAAATAATTCCGATTTGGAATGCAAAATGGAAATTTAGATATTTAAAACAAGCGAATAAGAATAAGCGATATAATCACGTGATTACTTTTTGATTTGATTCGATAAAACGTAATACTTAAATTTCTTCCAGTCATAAAAAACTGTCTAGTGTTTCTTTGTGCTTAAAAAAAATATTACGTTTATTTGGCCTATATATTTTTAAACTTTATCTACGGCTTAATGGTTAAATTATCAACTATTTTAATATAAATTTATCCCGAAAAATGCGCGAAATTTGTTGAAAAATCGAGATTTTTTTTGACGGTTAAATTAATAAAATTTTTAAAATTAAAGAATAAACTAATTAGAATAATTTCTGTGCCATACATTAGGAGATTTTCAAGCGCAATTTTCTCTCAAAAATGCATAAAAATTCGAAATTTTGAAAAGAAAATGCGCTCAAAATTCCTTTACTGTATAAAATATAGAGAAAAAAACTGATATTTTAAAAGATTTATGTAAATTTTAAGATCGAAGAAGAGAATTTAATGCCCTTTAATCTAATTTAAAAGGTATAGAATACAAATTATTCTTTCTCCCTCTTTATTTTTTCTTTTAATTCAAAAATTACTTGTAATGATTGATATAAAATTCTTTCAAATATCACAAAAAGAAACGAAGAAAAGACGTAAAAACCATTGAGAAACGTCAGCAGAGTTTAATTGAAAGAAGTGATGGCTGGAGGAGAAGAAGAAGAACAACAAAAGTTACTTTTAAAATAATATCGAAAGTATAATTGAATGAGGCTTTTAAGGCAAAAAGCCTCTTAGGTAAGAAGACAAATGGAGAAAAATAAGCATCCATATTTAAAAAAAAAAAAAAACGACAGAGTAATTCGATCCTTTGTTGGAGGATGTGCCCTGCAAAAGTCCCTTCCTTCCAGCAACTACGGAGATGTGAATTATTCAGTAGTGTTTCTTAAAATCTACTATATATATGTGTGTGTGTGTGTGTGTATATATATATATATATATATATATTCGTCATTGAACATTACGACGGTTGTAAAATCATCCAATGCGGTCGGAAAATAAATCTCATTACTTAGTGCCACATATCATGGAAGTGACGTACGGCGGTTGGAAGTGGGGAGGGACGGAAAGTGAGAGTCCACTGTTTGTAAACCGAGAAGTGAGCTGCACTAGCAGCATCAAACGTGACAAATTAGCCTTATCACGGTCCCATTATGGCTAATAACCGTCTATAGTCGACCCCAGTTGGTCGTTCTCATCATTATTCTGTGCCGATGACCAAAACTGGTCGCTTATTATGTTTGATTTGCCAGCGAATGTCTCGACTGAGCGGCAATTTGCTGCAAGAGGCGAACTCGCCAGGGACTTACTGCTGAAGATTTATAACGGTGATTCACACGTCAGATCCTCTCGAGGACCGCATCCACCCACTTACTCCATTCCCCCCTTTTCTTTCTCGAACCTGTGGCCTTACGCTTCTAACTGCTAAATCGTTGGCTACGGGCCATTTTTTCCCTCCTTTATCTATGACATAAAAGTTTCCATACGCTTTCTTTTATCGTTCGAAATTAATTTACAACTCTCCAACCGCAAAAAAAATGTTTCGAACTAATTTTTATACTATAATAATAAATGCCCCGTTTTAATTATCAAATAATGCTACGTTTTGCTCGAATACCCTTCATTATCTTAATTTGTCAAAATTTAATTTCATGGTTTCACAATTTTTCTAGTTTCTTCCATTACTTTATCAAGTTTTGTTTACTGTTTTTTCTATATTTTTAACATTTACATTGTCTAAATAGTACTGTAAGCAAGACCGTTAATGGTTATAATTATGGTATAATGTATCGAAAGTTGCTTACCCGAAACCTTTACAAACTTTATTTAAATAAAATTTTAAAAAAATTCAAATAAACACCTTTCAATTAGTTGGTTTATCATGTTTTTCTAATCCTTCTTAACATAATTTCTACACAAAATTTAAATTTAAGAAAATTATAAGCTTAAAACTAGAGCTTACTTGTCTGCGGTGTCACCATATATGAAGGTGTATCCCTACAATCTTTAAAATATAAATGCCATGCCCTAGAAATTAATAACTTATTTTTATTATTCCTGTAAAAAATTTAAAATTTCAACAAGAATTTAGAATAAACAGTGCTTACCATTACAAGAAGACAGGCATAACTTGTCTTCACACCTGATGTACAGTTTACATATTATATACATTATAAAATATATATTTTTTATAGAAAAAATAAAATAATATCAATGCCAAGAAACTAAGTGGTGCATATTTTATCTGAATAAGTTATTAAGAGAATTATATATAACCTATATTAGATTTTTATAAATTTTCCTGTTCTTCCCTACTTATGCTGTAGAAGTAGCAAATTCTTCCTTCTGACATTCATTTATTATATCAATACATAGTATAAAAGCACAAATAATCATTATAGAATTAATTATAAGTATCATAACGGTCAAGTTAACTATTTAAACTTAATATATTACACCCTATAAATTTATAATATTGCTTCTGTTAAGGTAAAAATTGTGACATAGAGCACACACATTTAGTTGTAGAAGAGTTGTCATTTTAGTATTAAAGATGTAATTATTAACTATTCAAAATCATACTAACTTAGCTTAATTTTTTTTAAATTTCCTTCTTAAATTCATATTATAAGTATTCTTTTATGTAAATTAGAATATTGTTCACTCCAACTGTCGTTAGAGTGTCAAGCACTTTAGCTAATGATTAGAGATTTAGTTAAATGGCACAAAATCCCTGAAGTTTATTAAGAAGCCAAAGAAAAAAAAAACTTGAATTTTTTAAATAATTTAACATTACGAACACTTAAATTTACCATTAATTGAGTAATTGAGCAATTAAAATGGGTTATTCATCAATTTACAATTTCAAAAT